GGCCGCAGATGGTCTCATGGTGTTCAGCTCTTAAAGGCGCATCGAATGATATACATTATACATGATGACCTCGAGGTTACGTGACCTGAGGTCAAGTCAACCTTTGACCTTGACCTTCGAGGTCAACATATATTTGAATCGATGTGGATTGACTGGAGGATCACGACACGATGGCATGCCATTAGTTTGTTCCTAGCTTGGCTACTTCGAAAGTAACTCGAGAAAAAAAACTCTTTATATCTAGCCCCATTTTGACTTTTTTGACCCCTGTGACGTCATCTTTGACCTGACCTGAAAATAACATCTAAAAGAATTGTAGACCTTGTCGTTGCGTACCCTATGCCGTTTACCGCTTATCACTATCTTGCTTCGTTCTCGATATTTCAGGGATTTCAGGGGGCGGTCATCCCCCCGTCGGTTTTAAGTTGAAGCGGGCCCCGTCGGTGCGTGGGTAAAGTCAAAGGTCTACATAGGTACTCAGTGACCTGACCTGACCAGAAAATGCGGTTAATGTCACAAGATCCATCTGAGAAGACAGTTTTGCCAACTTCCATCTATTCATCACTTGAAGCGCGTTACGAGCTCGCTTTCAATCCGTCAGAGGCGTTGGCACCAACCACCCCTTTCGGCCGGAGAGGGTTTATGGTTATGCAATGGTGAGCTTCGCAAGCTACATACCTACTGCGCGCGTCATATGCCACAGGCATGACGTGCTGGGAAAAGATATTGTGCCACGCTGCCCTGCTTTCGAAACGAGAGCCGGTTACAGCATAAACATGAGAAATTACGACGTAGATATGCGATGCAATCCCAATGGCATTGGCAATGCTCAAGAAAAATCAAAATAGTTAAATCATGGAAAATGAATAGGTACAATAATGACAAAGATGGCATTCACCCGAATGAACGTTATGACTTAACTTACCGTAGATAAAGAAAAAATGCAGAGTGCAGACTGCTTGCCTACAGACGCAGTTTTAAAGACAGAGAAAACATATGTTTAAAACATATAAGATGTAAAATGAACAGGGCTACAAAAATTGCTATCTCTGAATTTGTATGGTTATTTTTTTACTTTGAGCCCTAAAATTAAAGATATTTTTTTTTTAAATTATTCTCCAAAAATAAAAATAAAAACACTGGAAAAACAGAATATATGTTAGCGACCTATGGGTCTGCTATCGACATGCCAAATTGGAGCTCGGTAATCTATTTTTGGCAAGGTTTTGGCGAACAAAAATGCTCAAAATTGATGTTCTGTAATATCCAAATCCAATTTTTAGCCGTTATAGACAACTTGGAAAAAAAAAACGAAGACCACCATTATGTTCGCCGTGATAAGCTGCATCAAATGGGTTCTCTTTTTATGCAAAAATATGAATTTTGAAATTTGACCTTTTTGGACATTTTTACCTGACCTCCACCAAAAAGAAGCCTAAACCGTCCCTGATGGTTTTATAACCAACACCATCAGTGACGTTAACCTGACCTTCACATGAAATTGACTTCCACCATAATTCGTGGGACAATAATCGCTGACATATTTCTTATCATATCATGTCCGGAAGCCATGGCTAATGTAGGCTGACATAGACATACCTACGCCGAATCGCCATTCTGGCCCTACCTACATACATAGTACCAGTATAACGCCTTTTGGGGCGACTAACGGAGCGAGCGAGAGGGTGAGCCTTGCACGTGCGAAATTGCGAGGGGGTACCTCCAACTGAGTTGTGCACGGCACCCTACTAACCGGTCTCTAGCGATGTGCCAAATTTGAGCACAATCGGCCCAGCCGTTCTCGAGATCTGGAGGCGGCACCCTGCACGTGCGCACGTGCAAAATGGGTCCCAACTGACTTTTGCACGGCACCCTACTAACCGGTCCCTAACCATGTACCAAATTTGAGCGCCATCGGTCCAGCCGTTCTCGAGATCTGGAATCGACCCCTGCACGTGCGCACGTGCAGCAGCACCTCAACTCTGGCACATGGATAGGCATTGCATAGTGGGTGCCTACCTACATGCCAACTTTCAGCGCAATCGGCCAAGTAGTTACCGAGATATTGCAACAATTGCAAAAGTGACACCTCTTCGTTTTGCACGTGGCACGTGCATAAGGGGTCACCCACATGCATCGGGAATAGTCCAATACTTGGTAGAAGGAATGAAGCTACCCTACAAAAATTACCGCATGTAAATCGGTCAAGTGGTTGCTGAGATATAAGCCTCGCAAAAGCGTGACCACGGCCGGCCGGCCGGCCGGCCGGCCGGCCGCTCATACTCAGAAATTTCCGTTAATCTAAGGAAAGACTACGCTCGCTTCGCTCGCTCCGTAATAAAAACAGGTCACGGATCAAATGCCATTCGGGTCAAGGTCATGTAGCTTTCACGCTAGGTGCAAAAATTATCAAATAGAGCTGAAAGTTTCTTCGTCGCGATCCATCGCTTTGTACGAGTGTTATTCGCGAAAAAAAAAACTAGGGTGGGGTGGGGGTCAATCCAATGCCCGTTTCTTCAAGTTCAAGGGCTAATCTTTAATGGCGTGCGGAAACGATACGTTATAAATTGTTCCAAGCCGGTGACGTGCTTTTATATATATGTAAGCAGACCTAAGTTAGTGGGTGGGGGTGGGGGGGGGGGGGGAATAAATATGCCCCACAGTGATCGCATAATACGTTTTCCGAGCTCGTATCACGCTGCGCCATCAGCCTCCATCACCTCATAGTGCCTCTCGACTGGCGCGACCTGCTTCTGCATCCCTCATTGTGCAATACTTCGAATAATCACATAGCCAAGCACACAACATACAGCGACAGCGTCGATGGCACCATCACTCTGTGTTGGATTTTCCCAGCGGCGCACGACGTAAAGTTTGTTTACCCCGGGCTTCTGTGCCAGTCCTGCATCTCCCGATCAGGGGAGGGTGATCGGTATAAAATCGCCCAATGGCACACGGAGGGACATAGCGCCTCGAGCTTTCAGCGATCTCAGTCGTCGAAGTTGACTCTACATAAACCTCAGGTAAGACAATTGGATAATAAGATACGTGGTCCATCACGACTAAAAAAAAAAGCTGTATGGAGGAGGGTGGTAAGAAGCAAGTAGCAACGCTTGCCGGAGTTGTTAGCTTGGCTGCGATAGCCCGGTCCCCGACGGCCGCCCGCCTGCCCCGCTCCGCTCGGGACCGATCACTAGCCCTGGGGCGCTCCGTCGGTCACGTGACCGACCAAAGTCGGTGTCGGAATCGGGTGACCGCGTCCGGGTCAGCGGGAACCGAATAGCCGTCGGGGTCGTATCACAGAGTCTACCGGGGTACGTGCAAGCGGGTCATCCTTTACATTGTCATCTCAACGTTTTATTACTTTTAAGCCATGAGGGTCGGACCGTCAGCCACCAGAGGAGAACTCTCATAGTTAAGCTGGTATTATTTGTGGGTCTACTTTTTTGCCTTGTCCAGTGGAGGTGAGTGCACTACATTTTTTTTCGCCGGTTTCTGTACGCTTCTTTATAGAAAATCATAAGCCATTGCAAGCAATACACGCTCTCATACTCCAACCTAATCGCTAACTTGTAATCCCCGTAGCTAATTTGTACGTCTCTCTCCCACAGCCATGTTCCGCGCCGCCCTGCTGCTGCTGGCTGTCCTGGTCGCCGTGCTGGCGGTGGCCTGGGCTGACCCAGAGCCCGCCCCCGTCGACGAGAGCGTAGCAGTTTCCTACGTGGCCGATAACGTGGCGCACGGCTACGTCGCAGACAACGTGGCGCACGGCTACGTCGCTGAGAACGTCGCCCATGGCTACGCCCTGCCGTGAGCGGCCGCCGAATGCCGCTCCAGGTCACCATGGCCCGAGGAAAGGTTACCAGGTCAACGAGAGAGCCCACGCTGGACGCCTGGGTAAAACTGATCAGCGACTTCGGATTCAGACTCTCCTAGGGGTAGTTGCCAGAGGTTGAGCTCGATCTCTATTTTTTAGATTGGCTTAGAGAGTGGCAACTACGGTTTTACTTAGTGAAATGGCAGAATCGTTCGGATTCGATACACTGGATCATATTTTGGAGACTACTGAAAGGAATGCACTTGCTCTGAAAATTAACAGCGATTATCTATGGGCTCAGCCGCTGCACCCATCCTTTTAGTGCTGTGTTTTGGTGGCATGAATAAAAGGCAGTGAAACTCTGCATTGTGTTGAGAGAAAAAAAACACGATTTCAAAAATGACCCCCCCCCCCCCAAAGAAATATGCCACAACCAGAGTATTTCGAGTGTTTGGGCGCGTGTGGGGGAGGGGGGAAGGCGACAAACGAGCGAACGCAAGAATGAGAACAGCGTGTCTGGCAGGGCGAAGCCGGACCACCAATTGAGTTGTAGAGTTGTGCGGGGCAGTGTACTGACCGGTCCCTCGGGATGTACCAAATTTTAGCACAATATGCCCAGCCGTTCCAGAGATGTGGAAACTGCCTCCTGCACGTCCACACGCTCTGTAGCGCCACAACTGTGACACATGGAAATGCACTGGCAAATAGGTGCATACCGATAGCTATGTTTAGGCACAATCGGCCCTATGATTAGTTATTATCATGGGGAAAAGATGAAACTATTCTGCACGTAATCACCCACATTCATCAGGAATGGTTCAATACCTTTTAGAAGAGATGAAGATGCTTCACAACAAAAGACCGCAGGTCAATCGGCACAGTGGTTGCTGAGATATAAGCCTCTCACAGGCCTAGCCACGACCGGCCGCTCATACTCAAATATTCCGTAAATATACGAGAGCACGCCTCACGCTCGCTCGTAACAAGCACTCTACTACGGGGGCAACTAAGTGAGATAAATCGTAATGATAAAAAAATAGATTAAGGGATATATTATGATCAGCCATCAGGGTTTAGATTGCATAAAAGACCAATAATAAATAAAGACCAGTAAAGATTACCGGGTTCCGTAACCGAAATCCCGTTTCGCCAACACTTGTCCAACTCTCCACAAACGCAGTGATCGAATCATATCCAAGAATGCATTTGTAGCCGATTCCGCCAATAATCCTTCCACCAAAGCAGCACACGAGCAACAGCATAGCACCGCGCGCATGGCCGCCTCACTGTGATCTGGTTTGGGCACACTCACTCGCCGCGTCCGGGCGCTTGGCGCTTGCTGGAGCCCTCTGGACGGTTCGTGGCCGTCTCGCCTACTTCTGGATCACGGGTTTGACGGTGACTCCGCGCCGGATCTCACCCCAGCCGATCAGTCTGTAACGGGATGGGTGGTCAGCGGTCGTCCACAGGTGATGACAGACAAGTATTAATCCACGAGCCGCTGGGGGGGGGGGAGGGCATAAAGTTGCCCCCGGGTTCCGGACGAAAAGTCAAATGGTAAAAGGTAAAAGGATGATTAGTCAACAGACATTACGTCAAAAGCAAGAAGTCAAAAATCTTAAAAGTCAACAGGTAAAAGGTCAACAAAGAGGAAAGTCAAAAGGCAAAAAGTCAAAAAGGATCAAACGTCAAAAGATAAAAAGTGAAATTGCCAAAAAGTCAATGAACAAAAAGTCAACTAGCATAGAAGTCAAAAGACAAAAAGTCAAATGGACATTAGGTCAAAACACAAAAAGTAAAAACGGCAAAAAGTCAAATTGCCAAAAAGTAAAAAGGACAAAAGTCGAAAGACAAAAAGTGAACAGGACATAAAGTCAAAATAAAAAACAAAAGGACAGAAAGTCAAAAGGACAAAAAGTCAAAAAACAACAAGTCAACCGGGCATGAAGTCAAAATAAAAAGTCAAAAGGTCAAAAAGTCAAAAAGACATAAAGTCAAAGTCCAAAAAGTCAAAAGGACAAAAAATCAAAGGGACAAAAAAAACTCAAAAGGACAAAAAGTGAAGAGGACAAAGGTCAAAAGACGAAAAGTCAACAGGACATAAAGTCAAACTACGAAAAAATCCAAAGAAAAAAAGCCAAAATCCAAAAACTCAAAAGGACAAGTCAAAGAGACAAAGTCAATGACACCTGGATCATCAGTCATTACATACATGAGATAACATTTACAAACAGCTGTACGTACACAATTAAGCAGGATGCTGCACAATATAACCTGCATCATTGGACATTGAAGCGAGACTGCCTCCATTGCGCGACTGATGGGGATTCCCATGGCCCGCAACCGCGACTCAGCTGGTCACACAGGCATGCTTGGCTGAAATCTGACACACATCCGTTGACACTTACGTGCTAGGTGGGAGCTCGCTCGCATCGTAAGGTTGTCATGAGGCAGCGTTACATGATCCTTCGAGATAACTGGCTGTTCCAGGCGCAGTTTACTGGAATTATTTCAACAAATATAGTAACCCGGAATGTTATCGATACGAAAAGTTTGCTTGTTCAAATTTCCTATATTGTGTAGGGAGACGTTTCTCATCAATTGATTCCGTCACGGGTTCTATTGGCGATTTCACACTTTTATTATAGTTCAAGCGTATTGTATGGTAGAATTGGTACAATAGTAAAGCGCGTCATTTCTTTTAGATAGGTGGAAGTTGGAACGAGAGGCAATTGTGTGATTGTCGGATTGTCCTGCCTTGAAAGGAACGCTCATATCAGCATCAACAGACAACAACCTGTTAATATTCACGGACTGCATACAATAAACCAGCGCCCCGTAGGGGGTTGGGCCGAAACGGCCCCCCCTGTCCTTTTCGGTCGATATCTCCTAAACGGCTGGAGATATCGCCACCAAACTTTCAGGACTCCTCCGGGCATCAATTTTACACATTGTGACCAAAAGTTTATCCAGAGGCTATGATAGGTTGGCCACAAATGACGTCAGAATGACGTCATGTTCTGTCATTTTTGACCGAAAAAAGACCTTCGCGATAGGACCTGTCAGGCCTACAGCTTTGAAGACACAGAAAAATGATCAGACATAAAAGGTGTAGAATTAACAGGGCTACAAAACTGCTATCTCGGAATTTTGAAATTTTTGAGTTTTGACCCCCAAAAATCAAAAAAACATTTTTTTTATATATATTAGCCAAAAAATCCAAAAAGCTTTTTTTGAGTTTCGAAAAAAAACGGAATATATGTGATAGTGCCTACCGTCTTCTATCTACATACCAAATTTCAGATCGATACCTTGTTTTTTGGCTAAGTTATAGCGAAAAAACTGTTCAAAAATGATGACGTCAAATTTTCAAACTCAATTTTTGGCACTTCTAGACCTCGTAGAGCAAAACAAAGACCACCATTAGACTCCCCGTGACGAGCTGCATCGAATCGATACCCATTTTATGCAAAATATCAACTTTGAAATTTGACCTAATTTGACCTGACCTTGACCTGACTTTCACCAAAACGTGACCTAGGCTGGCCCCAAAGGCTGCCTAACCCACATAATCGCATTTGCCATGTAAAATGGACCATAAAACATTATCACACGACACTTTCATATTGTGACCCCGGTGACCTGACCTCGCTGTGACCTGACCTGGTATCAGTGACCTCAGATAGCAAAGTATGTGTTCGACGAACAATGTACTATCGATAGTTTTCAATAAATTACCAATCTACTCGATTTCACAACACATTTCTTGAAATGCCTTTGAACGGTGAAAATCTGACCTTTGACCTGACCTGTGACGTCATCGGTTTGACCTAGGTCAGTGAAATTTGGTCCCAAGGTAGTTCCCGGGTGGGGCTATCGAACGCCGTTTGGATTTTGAAAATCGGCCGGTAACTTTCCGAGATCTTAGGGAGGGGGACGAAACGGCCCCCCCCCCCCCTACGGGTGGTAGGGTCCGCCGGTAGCCCTACGGGGCGCGGGTTAAGGTGACCAATTTTCATCGAAAGGTACGGACTGCATCCAATTAAGGTGACCAATTTTCATCGAAATGTATGCATACTGTATAGGTCAATTAACCCTCGCCCGCACATGGGGGGGGGGGGTGGTTGCCACCCCCCAGGTAGTCTTTCTGCTCTGCACTCAACATTTTTAGAGCTAGAAGGCTGATTTTTCGTATAGCTGCTCCTCTATCCTTTCTTGATGTCCACTGAAAATGTCAAGTTTCTGTGATTTTTGGTTTCGGAGATATGACCTTGTTTTTCAGGTCATGTCATGACCCAAATGGCCAATTCTCAACATCTTGCGTTTGCCATTGGCCTTGTGAGCTTTTGACACCCTGATTTCGGCCTTTTTTGCCAGTCTTACCTCTCACTTATCATGGAACATGTTGTTCGACGATGTATAGGGGTCAAGGTCAGGGTCAAGGTCAACCTAGGTCATCTAAGATAATTGCGTTTTAGGCAAGCCGAATTTACTTTTTGTGAAGTTTTTTTACTGCATTTTTGGTAAAAGCTTCTCAAATCATGATTTCATGTAATATGGACCCAAAAACAATCGGTACACACATCAGTATACACACAGACACACACAGACATACAAACACATGTACATAATTGACCTTGACCTAACTTGACCTGAAATGACCTCAGCAGCAAAATTCTGGTCGGGTAGTGTGACAAAGAGGTTCTAGCTGGCTTGGCACCAGAAAACGGCATCGTCATCGGTACAGCGCTTGATATCCAACGGTGACCCAAAACAGCAACATTTTTTAGTTTGACCTGACCTGGAAAGTCAATGACTGACCTGAGAAGGTAAAACTGGGTATCATTGGATTCGTCTCTTCCCAAAGAATCTTTTTGGTCGTTACCGCTAAGCTCTATCTCCAACAGGAACGAAATGGCGCGGGGGGGGGGGGTGTGGCAACCACCCCCCCCCCCCCCACCATGTGCGTTCTAGGATGGGAAAATGGCATGTGCGGGCGAGGGGTTATCGAGATGCGATTGCTAAAAACACAATCATTTAGGACCTTGGAGCTGTGACGTCCAAAGAGAGGTGACAAGTATAGCGCATTGTGGCCACCAGTTACTGTCCCCTCTCCTTCATCTTCGCCTCCGCCCTACCTACGTCTCCTTATCGGAACTGCCCCCCCCCCCCCCCCGCCACTAGCAGGCACAGTACGCCAACTTTATATATATAAGTTCACATTCCCAATATACTTTTTAAAGCAAAGTAAAAATAGGTAGGAGAGTTCTTATCGGTAGTGTCGGGGCACGCACAGGGACGCGCCGAGACGCGCTATGCGGTGCAGCCGGCGCCCAGCGGGCGGCGGCCGGGGATCATGTGGCCCGGCGCGTGTCAGTCGCCGACCGGAGACGCGGGCTGCGGCGTACTTGTACCGACTTAGTTAACGACTGCTAGGGCTGTTCACGACGTCGGTTTATGTGGTTTACATAAACTGCCCTCGGGGCACGTCCCCGGCTGTGACGTCACACGGCGTTTACGTTTACGAAACACAAGTGTTTACTTAAACAGTGACAACTAATAAGCAGTTGAGACGATACTGTAAAAGGTGCAAAGAAAAGATAATTTGATGGGAATATGTCTCATATCATGACATATTGCAAGAATAAGGACAGTTTTCACCACAAAATACCCACGACGCTGGACGCTGGTTATCAGAGAACGATGCTCAAAATAGGTCTTAATTACAATGAAATTACAATGAAACAAACCTGCCATTCCAGGTCCTCTGCAACCCATGCAGGGTTATTTTGAAACTCATGTATTCACCTACCAGCCCCTGAACTGTCCGAATTCAGATTTCCACTCACAACTCGCCTCACAAGTTCGCCGCACATCGCCATCATTGTCACATAAACGCGTTTACGCGCCATGTTGATGCTTTGAGGCATCAACCGCATAAACGGTTTACGGCGGAGGTCTGACGTCATTGACGAGATGTGACGTCAGGATCAGGTCGACGCTGATTGGTCGTTCAAAAAATAAACATGTTTACGGTTTATTAAACGGGATAAACCGACGTCGTGAACAGCCCTGCTGTTAAAGACTACTTTTTGCTGTTAACTACATTTTGCGCATCAACTTTTCGCGCACCTATTAACTATTTGCTTGTTGACTTTTAGCGTGTTGACTTTTGAGCATGTTGACTTTTAGCGTGTTGACTTTTAGCATGTTGACCTTTCGCGTGTTGACTTTTAGGCGTGTTGACTTTTAGCGTCTTGACTTTTTGCGTGTTGACTTTTAGCGTGTTGACTTTTAGCGCGTTGACTTTTAGCGCGTTGACTTTTTGACATGTCGGCTTTTTGTCTATTTGACATTATGTCATTTGACTTCTTGCGTGTTGACTTTTAGCTTGTTGACTTCTGGCGTGTTGACTTTTTGGCAGGTTGACTTTTTGTTCATTTGACATTTTGTCCTTTGACTTCTTGCGATGTTGACTTTCTGTCTGTTGACTTAATGTCCTTTGACTTTTTATCCGTTTACTTTTAACGTTTTGACTTTTCATCCGGGAATCGTTGCCCCCCCCCCTTTACGTTTTGTGAAATATATCTGAACCTGATGAGCTACGAACGTGATAAACTTGGCTTAGCTTCAAATGAATACCTAGGCAATGTTTGAGGAAAGTTTGGTGGTTGTAGCACCTACGATGACGTCACAGTGACGTCATAAAGTTTGTCGTTTTCCTATATGGACCGTTTCTGATGACTCTGAGCATAAAACTCAACTGTAAATGAACTAGGCAGCACCTGCTGTCACCCTAAAACATCTATCTACACTTCCATCTAGTTTCTGACCAATAATCGACCCTTTATATTCGGTCCCAAATATCTGATGTATCGTGAGGAATATGAGAGTCGCAAATCTATAATTTCACTTATGACGTCACTGTGACGTCATTTCAAATGGGATCGACACCAAATTTAGACACAACCTTGGCTAGTTATTCAGGAAGATGTGTGCAAAGTTTCGCTTCTCTATCTCTTCGCGTTGCGACGATATCGTCGCAGAAGTAAAGGGGGGGGACTATATGCCCCCCCCCCCCCCCCAGCGGCCGGTGGGTGGCGCGGAGGCCCAGCGGCCGCCGGGTTAAAGGACAAAGGATCTACCAGCGACGTCTGGCTTTTTGAAACAGCAGATTCCGACTATGATGTCGCTACGAATCGAGCACAAAGGCATGGGTGAGCTGCAATGTCATGATTCAGCTAGGTTATCCATGCAGTGTGCTGAATAAATACAAAACGAATGTAAAACTCCAAATGTTAAAGCGAAAAGCACCCGCCAATACTTGGCCGTAAAATCCTCATCAGACCCAACACCGAACATACCGCCAGTGTTTCTCGACGCGGCGAGAGAGGGCGATCTTCTCCCCGACCTCGGTACAGACGGGGGAGGTCAGCGAAATCTTGGCCAGATCAGCCTTGATGGCCAGCACGCGGCACCCGGTGGACAGGGAGCCGATGTTCACCATCAGCACTTCGTTCTTGGTCAGCTTCTGGACCTGTGGCGGGGAACACGACATCGCTTAGACGCATTACTGTCAGTCACACTTATAGCACTTACATCGGCAGTGCGTGTTCTAAAAAGCAGACAAGGTTATCATAATATTGAGATATAAGCATCAGCTCTCGTCCATGAGGTAAATGAACGAATAGAAGATTGAAGTAACGAGCCTTCCGCACACGTAAATCAAGTCTCTTATACAGTCATGCATTCCTTCATACAGTTCTTTAGATGGTGGCTTTGGCGCCGCCCGCTGCCGGCCACTACTGCTTACCCTGGCTCCCTTCTTGTCGCCCTCCGTGCGGACGCCGAGCAGCCGGCGAAGCAGGAAGAGCGAGATCTCGAGCTCGGTGAAAATGTCGGGCAGCGCTCCGACGGCGCCCAGCACGTGGCCCACCATACGGTCGGCGCGACACAGCGTCGGGTCGATCTTGGTGCCCACACCTACGGCAAGGAGGGCCGGTCAGAGGTGACGTGTCATTAAAAATTGAAGTGACGAGTCATTCAAGTGTGAGGACCGGTGTGTGCAAGAGGAGCATGCAACATCTCAAGCGTACACTTCAGGACACATGGCTTAGTACTTATGTAAAAAATCGCCACCTGATACTACACATCTCGATATCCCGGATTTAAGAGTTCAAATACCACGGAATCGTGACACCTCTCGGTGTCTCACGTTTCGGAGCTCAGAGTTAAGCCGGGCTTGTGGGTTTCGTACCGATCAGTCCTCCGGGCACAGCGAACTGCAGGTCGTTCTGCTCGGCGAACAGTGATAGGATGCGCGAGAAGATGGGTCGACAGCTGAGCTTGCCGTCCTGGGTCTTCTCCACGATACCGGGCCGCACCTCAATCTCCTGCCCCACCTGCCGACAAAACGAGGTGGCGCGGTTTGGGTGAATGGCTTGCTTACCAATTACTTACCAGTCAGCAAACAGCCGCGTTACATGCATTCTTTCGCTTCTTGTGCACCATGATAAATATACGGTTATTCCATCATTTCCCGGAGTACAACATTAACACTTGGTACTCTCCCCCGTCGGTCACCGTAAAATGTCCTCTCTAGGCCACCAATCAGCACCTATCCCCCCTCCTGATCTCTAAGCCCCCTTCTCGCACTAATTACGATCAGCAAACCACGATCCATTCCTACCAATATCTTCTATCAAGACACGTAAATGTCTCTTCCCTACAGTATTCCCTGCCAAACAAAAATGCGCCACGGTCTACCAACGTCCACCCTCCTACCACTTTCTAATCCCGATCGGGTCTAATACTTCTCCCCTCTCCCTCCCTCCTTCCAAGCCGTACCTTCAGCACACCACGCAGGATCGAACCGCCAGCCACGCCACCCTTAAGGTCATCCACCTCGCAGCCGGGCTTGTTGACGTCGAACGAGCGGATGACGATGAGCCGCGGGGCCGAGAGGAAGTCGCGCTGCGGCACCGGGATCTTCTTCACGATGTACTCGCAAATGACCTCGATGTTGTACTTGAGCTGCGCCGAAATGGGGATCACCGGCGCACTCTCAGCCACTGTGCCTGCGGAGAGGAGCGGTGGTAAATGAGACAGGTCAGTGGGCGTGTAACGGACATGGAATAACTTTCATAGGACGAAAACCAACCAAATGGAGTCTCCATGTATTTGGGAAAAATGATACGTACTTTCCAATCAAACATTTATTAATTCGTGACATATCGTAGCTGACATACATAGCTGTATCATATATATATCATATATATATCATATATATATCATATATAGCTGTATCATAGCTGTCAGTCATTCCGTAGAAAAAATCATCTTCTTCAGAACATTCGCACTATCCGATCCATCGAGCCGCGCCACCTACCCTGGACGAACTTGAGGATCTGTTCGTACTGCTCCTTGGCCTGGGTCTCCTTGACGAGGTCGATCTTGTTCTGCAGGATGAGGATGTGCCGCAGCTTCATGATCTCGATGGCGGCCAGGTGCTCGGACGTCTGTGGCTGCGGACACGGCTCGTTGCCCGCTGTGGAGACGGAGCAGCAGGGTGAGAAAAGAGACGCGACTTAGGGCAGGTAAGACCACAAAAATTCGAATGAAACATCGCATCAAACAATAACACAAAAGGTGACGAGCCATTGTCGATGCTAAACTGTGAAATTGTAATCGCGCCCTGCGGTATAAATCAATGTGGGAATCACACCAAACAGCTTCCGTTCCAGCACAGCACAGGGGACTGAGACGCTGTCCGCATTATCGGTGGACTGGCGATAGGCACTGACCGACGAGCAGGAAGGCGGCGTCCATGACTGCCGCTCCGTTCAGCATGGTGGCCATGAGAATGTCGTGACCGGGGCAGTCGACGAACGACACGTGCCGGGTCAGACGGAAACTGGAGACAGAGTGAATTCACAGTCAAGGCTAAGCAAGAGATCGTTCACCATAAGCTACTGGCGTTGCATATAGCTTTCGTAAAAGAGCACGACCTTAATCATATGGTCAGACATTTAAATGTGTTGCCAAATGACATCAGATTCTCCATAACAATGTGTTTCTGAGACTATCAAGGCATGTTTGACATGACTAGATCTACATAGTGTGGAGCCAATTGCATTTGAGCCACTCACTGTCCGTTGCAGGACTGCCTGCTGCAGACGAAGCTGTCCTCCTTAGAAGAGCCGGCAGCAATGTAGCACGTTGGTCGTGGACACTTCTCGTTGTCACATTTGAACACCTTGGCATTTGCATAACCTAGCACAATACCGATGAGTTAGATTTTGATGACTGACGAGACATTAGACAAAAAAAAAAGTTAACAGGGACATATTCCACAAAGAGCGTGAAAGCACACGTTCTACAATGCATAATATAAAATTCCTGACAGCATCAATGTGAGTCTAAACGCATTTGGCGAGGTACTCACGTAGGTACAACAACTTAAACCAAAAACTAATTTCATTTACAACTCGCTAGAGATTTTAGTGGCTTGCCGAATCAACACAGATCCCCAATAAAAGATTGGGAAGCCGTCACCGAAACACGACCTCTTACTAAGTGCCCAGTCAGTTCTCGACATCCTTCTTAGTTGGACGGTTAATGCCGTGGTTAGCGAACTTACCTAGCTTGATGGTAATGTTGCGCACCAATTCGTTTTTGAAGCGGACAGTCTGTACGCCGGACAAAGCCTTGACGATGGTCGACTTTCCGTGCGCCACATGGCCAATAGTTCCTGAGAAGAGAGAATGGGTCATACTGTTGAATCGTTGTTTTTACTCTAGGTACTGACTTCAGAGGACAAAATGAAAATAGGAACAAAATGAAAATAGGAACAAAATAATATCTTAACTAATAAAAAAAGACTATTGCATCAAAACAACCATATACATATTACATATGTGATACTTACCTACGTTGATTGTGGCTTGCCTACTGATAACCTCTGGCGAAAGCGGATGCAGCTTCTCAATGTCCTGAAAAAGAAAACAAAACAAAATTGCACTGCTGACTGTCACCGTTGTACTGCATCTCCTCTCTGTATTCATGTGACTAGAACAGCCCAGACAAAAATGATGACAAGCGGCAGTTAGCAGCTATGACCTTGAAATGCTTAACCCATGCCCCTCTGAGGCTCCTGGATTTCTAAGCCTTGCTCGGGGAGGGGTGCTTGAACTAACCTAACCTAACCTGACCTAACCTTACCTGACCAAGGATGTTTGGCTACTGCCAAAAATGAGAGGTCTATAAAAATGTCACTTACAAGTTTAATTGTATAATTACATTTCAAAACAGAAGTTAGTCGCCTGCTGTTATCTCCTGGCTTCTGATTGATTGAATCCGTACGGTCTGTGCGGTTGAATGGGAGGCCAAGAAACGTCATGAATGAACTTCTCCATTTGGGAGAACCTGCAGTATACTAACATAAAAAGGTGACCAAACAAATTGTTGACAACAGACTGTGCGGCAGCTCAGCTAACACTGTGTTGAAATTACGATTAGTTAGCTTGGGCCAAAAATTGCTGAGAGATTAACTATATAATTGATCTTTTTATCAATAGTGAGTTTCTTTAAAGAATACTGTCTATATTATATAAATTGGGTAACTAATGTCTGAGCAGCGAGCATTCCGTAATGTGATAAAAATTTGTTAACAAACCTTTATTCATTTTTAGCATGTTTTCAATAACCAACAAGGCAAGATAAGATGAGGTTAAAGTTCAGTGAGATGAAAGATGCTTCGGTACCCATTATTCACTATCAACATTGATATACCTTGACCTGCCTACCTGCACCAGCATCTCAAATGTCAATCACAATGTCAATAGGTACATTTCAGAAATGACTTTCGGGTCGTTTGAGACCAGTCAAAAGCTCATCTGAAGCATCGTTCATCTGATGCTTCCCCACTATATCGTCATGCAGTGCATTTGTTTTGTGAGAATATCACTGTTGTTCGTAATAAATGCCGGACTATCAAAAAAAAAAAACATTTCAGAAATGACACACAGCAGAATATGGTGACAGCAAGTGCATTTTATTTATCAAATCAATTCGATTAATGTGCATCTTTTGACTAAAAAGCCTATAAATAATGAATCAACATCTGGACAAAATTTCATCATCTTTTCAACCTCGCTCAGCTCTGCTTTTTTTGACATCACAATTCGATAAACCAGTTTCACTTACCAAATCAACTAAACTTTGTTTTGCTAGATGAGGCTGGCCTGACATTTTTATTCTTGTGTGTCAATAACTGTGAATATAAAATATTACTATCACCGGCGATAAATCGCGGGGCGGCACACGACGCGACACGAGGCAAATGTCTTTTCACAGATCAAGGTATTTGTTATTCAAAACATACCATAAACTCGCAAACGAGAAAGACGTCATAAGATCGTGGCGTCTTCAGCAGCCAAATTGCGTCATTGGAATGTGCCGGAATGCACGGAATGCGTTGCTGCGCTGCTGTCAGCTGTGGCACGGTTATGCTGTCCATATCCAAGGCCCTTAAACACACCCATATCCTTGGACGGTTACATAGCCTTGGTAGCTGGTATCTGCCATACCTACCTAACCTACCTAACGAAATTTCTGAGTATGAGCGGCCGGCCGGCCGGCCGTGCGGACGCTTTTGCGAGGCTTATATCTCAGCAACCACTTGACCGATTTATATGCGGTAATTTTTGTAGGGTAGCTTCATTCCTTCTACCAAGTATTGGACTATTCCCGATGCATGTTGGTGACCCCTTATGCACGTGCCAACTGCCACGTGCAAAAGGAAGAGGTGTCAGTTTCGTAATTGTTGCAATATCTTAGTAACTACTGCAGGCCGATTGCGCTGAAAGTTGGCATGTAGGTGGGCACCCACTACTAGGCAATGCACAGTCACAGTGACGGATCCAGGGGGGGGGCAAAATTGGCATTTGCCCCCCCCCCCCCAAACGGCATAATTGTAACATTACGCCTATGGACGATGCATGAAAAGAATCGATAAATTGTTATGGTTTGCCCCCCCCCCCCCCAAATGAGCTGGATCCGCCTCTGGCAATGCATATGCATGTGCCAGCCCACAATGGGGGTGCTGCTGCACGTGCGCACGTGCATGGGTCGATTTCAGATCTCGAGAACGGCTCGACCGATTGCGCTCAAATTTGGTACACAGTTAGGGATCGATTAGTAGGGTGCCGTGCATATATCAGCTGGGACCCATTTTGCACGTGCGCACGTGCAGGGTGCCGCTTCCAGATCCAGGGGCGTAGGCAGGGGGGGGCCACTGGGCCATGGCCCCCCCCCTTGGGCGCCGAAGGCGCCCTTTGCGATTGGAGGGCGCCGAAGGCGCCCTCCAATCGCAAATGCAATTGTGATATAATCGAATCGAAAAACAATCGCGACTGAAGGGCGCCCTCCAATCGCGAATGTGTTTACAGGGAAAATACGGATGGAGGGCGCCCTCGGAGGACGCCCATTCCAAATACGCCCTCCAAATACGGTTGGAGGGCTCCCTCGGGCGCCCTCCAACCACATTTGTAGGCTGTAGCTCTCTAAGCGTAACGGTGGTCGCCTATGTAAGCCGCTGTCCTGTAAATAAGCGCCCTCTCACCCGAAGGCGCCCTCCTGTAGGTCGCCACCCTGCTACACATTGCCGCCCTTCTGCTGATCGGCGTCCTCATAATTATTGGCGCTCTCCTACCTATTGAGCCCTCATGTGAAATTTTGAAGGCCGCCTTTCTCCCTTTTGGCACCCTCTTGTTCATTGCCGCCCTCCTACCTATTGGTTCCCTAGTCCTTCCTGTTGAATGTTAATCGGGGCCCTTCTCCTATTGGCGCCCTCGTGTAGATCGCCGCCCTCCTAACCACTGGCACCCTCCTGTTGATCACCGCCCTCCTATCCACTGGCACCTTCCTGTTGACCAGCGCCCTCCGCACAGACGCCCTCCTGTTCGTGTCATCCTCTTGAGCAAAGGCGCCCTCCTCACCATTGCCACCCCCATTTTAATCGTCACCCTTCCGCTCATTGGCGACTTCCAGTTGATGACCGCCCTCCCACCTTTTGGCGACCTCTTGTTGATCGCCACCCTCCTATTGGTGCTCTCCTGTTCCTCGCCACCCTCTTACCTAGTGGCGCCCTCCTGTTGATTGTTGATCGGCGCCCTCCTACCTATTGGTGCCCTCCTGTTGATCGCTGCCCTTCTATCCATTGGCGCCCTCCTGCTGCTCGCCAACTTCCTACCTATCGGTGCCCTACTGTCGAAACTCGGGATGTTGATCGGGGCTCTTCTACCTATTAGTGCCCTCCTGTGGATCGCAGCCCTTCTACCTATTGGCAACATCCGTTGATCGCTGCCCTCCTATCATTTATTTACTCCTTTGGCATGTTTTTCAACTTAGTCGTTCTATTGCACATAGTTGATGTCTTGCCTGTGAAAACTGCCACAAATGAACGTGCATTCAGCACAATGAATGAAGTATCTATACCTACCAAAACTATCTACGCTCTACGATGCATAAAACACGTCTTTGGTCTTAACGGATTGATCCTACTTTACGTGCATCATGGCATCTATATGGATTACGATTAAGTATTGTCAACAGGTTCGGGCGCAACAGCAGGCATCTGAAGTTTCGGTGATTGAAACTGGTTATGTGGGTACACTGTATGCATCTGTGAGAAGGCTATGAAGGCTGGTCTGAGGTAATTTGGATGATGTTTACGCATCTCGCGCTCCGGTATCAATCCGATACGGTGATCTGGTGCGTAGATATGCCACCGCCAATAAACTTTTATACATCGACACCCATGAGCCAAGCTTTCTGTACAGTTTGTGTGGCAGCGGCCCGACCAAACCTTAGGTATTTTTTACACCTTCAAATTTGGTAAAAGAGCGAGAGGAGCTTTGAACAGTGATCGTATAAAAGGCGTGCCTAAAAAGCGGAGGAAAAGGTTGTTTTCAAAAATTTCGCGCGCCTTCGGCGCAGCATTTCAAGAACACTTGACCTTTTGTGACCTGGAGTATAAAGAATACACACGATGCAAAATCAATGCAGCACGACCTATACGAGGTTACGCAAAAAAAAAAACTGGTGGCATGGTAAAAAACGCCTCCCAACCCCCCAACCCCCACTGAGCGATTTTTTATCTCGCGACCGTATGGCGCCCTCCTTGGGTGAGGTGGCGCCCTCCAAACCCTTGGCCCCCCCTTCGCGATTTTCTAAATACGCCGCTGTCCAGATCTCGAGAACGGCAGGGCCGATTGTGCTCAAATTTGGCACATCGCTAGAGACCAGTTATTAGGGTTGGGTGCCATGCACGAGTCAGTTGGAGGTACCCCCTCGAAATTTCGCACGTGCAAGGCTCAACCTCTCGCGATCGCTCCGTTAGTCGCCCCAAAAGGCGTTATACTGGTTTTATAGTATAGCACGCGGCGCGTGCACAATGCACATCAAGACCTTTTGTTGTAAAAGAAATGTCCGATATCGTGCATTGCGAAGGAAAATTCGATGCTGTTAAACCGCGCACCGACGGGGGGCGGATATCCGCCCCCCTGAGGTTTTTCGCGGATAGCGGGAAAACCGCGGCGCGTAGCGCCGTGAAATTTGGTACGACTATTCTCTCACCAATTTTGCACATGGTGTGCAAGTTTGAACCTCCTAACTTTCAAGGTCAGGTCACCAGGTCACTTTGAATGACCCAACCTCAAGTCACTTTTTTGCAATTTTGTCACCGTGCCAGAGCTACAGTAGATGTCGGAGGCCTTTGAAAGTCGCAGGATGTTATTAGGTCACTAGTAGCTACAATTTCTATATCTCGGAATTTTGATGGCGGTGACCTAAGGTCAGGTCAATTTCGCGACCTCCCCATTATAAGTCAATGGGGAAAAAATCAACTCCCTGTTTTTACCACTAAAACGGGTCGGAATGGCCCCATATACCATACATGACTTCATATACGATCAACCTTCACTACCTTGAGGTCTGTTTTGCTGTTGGGCAGCTGTAAGGTCATACGTGACGTCATCAAAGGTCACCAGTGGTTTTTTGCCAATAACTCGGTACAGGAACAAGATACAGCCACGCAGATGGTCTCATTGTGTTCAGCTCGTCAAGACGCATCGAATGATATACATGATGACCTCGAGGTCACGTGACCTAAGGTCAACCTTTGACCTTGACCTTTCGAGGTCAACATATATTTCATTCGATGCGGATTGACGAGAGGATCACGATGATGCCCTTAGTTTGTTCTTATCTTGACTAATTCGAAAGTTATTCGAGAAAAACTCTCTCCATATCTAGCGCCGCCATTTTGACTTTTTCGACCCCTGTGACGTCATCTTTGACCTGACCTGAAAATGACCTTAGTAAAAATTGTAGACCTTGTCCGTGCGTATCCGATGCCGTTTACCGCTTGTCGCTATCTTGCTTCGTTCTCGAAATCTCAGGGGGGGGGCGGTCATCCGCCTCCCCCCCCCCCCCGTCGGTGCGAAGTTGGCGCAGAAGTCGGTGCGCGGGTTAATACCGTTCGAATGAAATGTAGCTCTACTGGTTTGCAAGTTATGGCTTATGCGCCGGTTTTTCGAAAATTATTGAAATAGGCCAAATTTAACCTTTGATGACCTCTGGTGATCTGACCTTTGACTTGACCTTAACACTCGCCCCACTGGGGTCTGCGTATAACACGCCCTACTGGGGGGGGCTCTTCATAGCCCCCCTCCCTCCTAGCTCCGAAACTACTGGGCAGATCGTCAAAATTCAAACAGCGTCTGATAACCCCTGAAAAACTGTCGAGCGAAGCCTAATTTCATTGGCCTCGAGGTCACTGATGACGTCACAGGTCAGGTCAAATACAAAATTATTAGCATTTTGGCTTGTTCACATTTCGGGCTCTGGCCGCCGTCTTACAGGTCAGATCAGGCTGATTTTTTGTTTACACTTTTGTGAACAGATGCTTTAGATACCTTGAGGGTACCAAACTTGTACTTTGATTTTCAGGTCAGGGTCAGGTCATCACAGGTCACGGAAATATTTTATCATGCGTCGGTCACGTGACACATATTTTATGGTCCGTTTAACCCTCGCCGGCACAGGCCATTTGGCGTCCTTCGCCGGCACAAGGGGGGGGGGGGTTTGGTACGACCCCCCTCGCGTTTGGCCCCTGATCGAGCTAGAGCTTCGCAGAAAAAACGAGCGTGTTGCCCGTCACGAGAGGAAGCCGATGATACCCAATTTTAAGGTCCTAGGTCATCGGATGACCTCCCAGGTCAGGTCAATGACCCGAAAACCGGGAAAATCGGGACCTGTTAGAAAGTCGTAAAGTGTTTGTTTGTTTGTTTTGTTAGGTTAGGCCCTTTCGGT